CATGCTTTTGAAAGTAACACAGATTTATTATTAATTTACCAAGTGACTTGTGTATTCTACCTCTATGATATAAAACAAAACACAATTATGTACATTTTTTACACCAAAGAGGTGATTAATATTAAATAAAAAACAATCTCAGTATGTCTGTTAGGTTAGATAAAAATGTATGCTTCAGTATTTTTCCCTCCATCATACTAGTTCTAATGTTGGCAGTCCAACATCAGCACAACTTTGCATTAAAACCAATGGACACATATAGTGGAGCAGAATTGGAAATTTGGTTCTCCCTCAGTGACTTTTCTTCCCATTTCTAGTATGAGTGTTAGAAAGGATATTTCTAAAAATAAAAGTATATTCATTTTCTGTATCTTCATTATTAAGTTCTCTTGGATTAGAATACACTGTGAGTGTGAGAGGTTAAAAAAGCTGCTCATTTATAAGTAGTTGTCTCTTGTTTTTACATCTTTTAACAGCTCTTCAAATTTGTCAGCTTCAACAGAACAATGAGCCAGTTATCTACCACTATGTCTCGCTGTGCCAAAGATGTCATTGGCTTTGCTATTATGTTTTTCATTATTTTCTTAGCATATGCTCAGCTGGCTTACCTTGTGTTTGGAACTCAAATTGATAACTTCAGCACTTTCCAGGACTGTGTGTAAGTATAATAATAAACAGCAAATGACCTCCGCTACCTCATCAAAGACAGAAGATTTTATAATAGCTCCAGATAAATAATGAAAGTTCTAGACAGCTGATGTAGATGTATGGGATTTCTAAAAACTGAATTAAACTTTTTAGAAATTGTTTCGGTTATATATTTATATTTATATTTTTTGGAAAAAAAAACCCTTCACTCTACAATCACAAATAAGACAATTGCTTATAACAAAATTATTTTCCTGAGAATTGCAAGTATTTCATGACAAAAACTATATTAAACATAGACTTATACTTTTCCCCTTAACATCTGAAGAGATGAGCAATTCTTCCAAATAGGTAGAAGTGATAGGCTTTTAAGAATGTATCATTGACTATTACATTACTTTACATTGTAGTAGTGAATGCATGTAGTGATTACACAGTAGCCTAAAAACTGCAGTACATCTTTATAACTACCTGTGACTAAGAATTGAATACTGCTTATTAGACATTATTAGAAATTATTAGTAATTAGCAATTATTCCAAGATTACAGGATAATTATTTAAAAATGTCTATAATTTGTAAAAAGGTTGGATTTAGTTTAATTAGGTTCTATTCCTCTGTGACTGTGGTGAAAAAACTTAGCTCAAAATAGAGTGAAATGTCACAAATTGCTGCCAGAATTCAAAAATGGTTTAACAGATAGCTGTGTTTTTGTTTTGTTTTTAAAGCTTTACTCAGTTCCGCATCATTTTGGGAGACTTTAACTTTACAGAGGTTGAAGAAGCTAACAGAGTTTTTGGACCAATTTATTTTACTACATTTGTGTTCTTTATGTTCTTCATCCTTTTGGTATGTAAGCTTTTGTTTATGAAGGAGGGCAGGTGTCACACTTGAGTTTTAAGTTACTTTCCTTTTTACATCTCTCAGTCTTTGGGTGACAGCAAGCTTACAATGCAAGTGGAAACATAACCTTTAACAGATGCCCATCTCCACACTCTATTTGTCTTTCAAAATAGAGTTGCATTGCATTGCCACAGTTCTTCAAGTGTTTTCCTGGTTCAAGAATACAGGATACCCTTACAATTCGCGGAATCACTATTCATGTTTTTGCATATTTGCAGGTCTCTCCTGCCCTCCCCCTTGCATCCCATCCCTTAGCCTGGGAGGAGGAGGAGAACGTGACCTCAGGGAGCAGCAGTCAGGGTCCCCCTCCTGCAATCACTGCAGAGTCCGGGAGCCACAGGGAGCACACCAGGGCTCCTGATCCCAGTGATGAGTTCCCTGTGGCTCCCAGCTCTCCATTGCTCACGGCCCTGTTTTAAAATATTTATGGAGCAGTGGTACCCTTTCTTCAATAAGATGCAGAGAAAGATGGGATCTAGCTTGTTTTGATCAGCTCAGATGACAGTGTAATTAACTGATTACAAATGCAGTTACATTTTTAGTATACAGCAGGTCTAAAACACAATCAGCTACTGGGCACATATATGTTTCCTGAATATGAAGTCTGATAAGAATTTAATTGCTATAACGATATCAGTGAGTAAGTCAACCATTTCAAATTACTACGTGTCAAATATTTAATGTACCAGACATACACTAACTACTTGAAAAAGTAAATATATGTATCAATATACCAATCAGGCTCATATATGCCCCACAAGTGTTTTTTTAAATTAAATTAATGGAGATTGCCCATCTCCTAGAACTGGAAGGGACCTTGAAAGGTCATCGAGTCCAGTCCCCTGCCTTCCCAGCAGGACCAAGTACCATCCCTGATGAATTTTTGCCCCAAATGGCCTCAGCAAGGATTGAACTCACAACCCTGGGTTTAGCAGGCCAATGCTCAAACCACTGTCTTTGAGCAAATGACAGGCATTAGTTGGACTGCTCTAAAATTTCTCAGTATTTTTTTCTCTAAAAGTTGTTTTTAAAATGTATCACTATGTCAGTGTGCAATACACCAAAGGCCAGGACAATTAAAATGTCTGGCTTGAGTCTCACCCTTGACTTATGCTCATTTTATTATCTTCAATTTACAACAAAATTTAAGAATGCTGCTTTGTATCACATTAGTGACTGCTCTACAGGAGCTTTCAATACAATTCCATTAAGCCCTAATAACAATACCTGAAAATGGTGTAGACCTGCAAATTCCGACAGGCCATAACATTATAAAAAGAAAACAGCCACAGTGTATGAGGTTTACTCTGCTATGTAACAATACCAATGAAGTAGATGCAACTTCTTGTGGGACCACGCCCATCAGTGATGCTGTCACAATCTAATTAAAAGGGCTTTTTCCTCCTGTAAAATACCAACCTCCTTTTGTTTTAACTTTGAGATGTTTCACAATGGATTTCAAACCTGCTTAACATCCCTTGTAAGTTCAAGTGTCCCATATGCTGTTTCTAGCTCACTCTTCCTCAGGCCAGCTACATTTTTCACAAACTTCTTAATCTCATAATAATTATAGTACTATAGAGGAGCTCAACACCTGTCACATGCAAAAAAACATAACACCCCCAAAATATATTAAACTCCCATTAGATAAGAGACATCATGAAATAATGTAGAAGGCTGTTTCACACAATAGTACTGAATTAACCACAGAATCAATATAAAAAAAAATCTTGTCCCACATAATAGGTTATCAGTAGCATAACAAATCATCATGTGGAAGCCCAAGATTTGAGATTAACTTTTATAGCATCTAATTAATTGGAAAAGTATACATATATTGTGAGTGGCTTTGAAATTGCTTTTACCACCAAATGTAATCAATCTGTGGATGAAGCATTCCAAGAGAATACTAATACTCTTTTAATTAAAGGATTTTTTTTTTTTTAAATCTGGAATAGAATTCTCAAAAGTGAAGTCCCTAAAACATTTAAGTCCCATTTTCAAAAGTGATGTTGGCCTATAACAGTTTCAGTGAAAGAAAAAAAATATAACTAGCTTCTAAGGCTCTTTGTAGATTTTTTCATCTCTGTTCTTTCTCCATAATAGCATCAAAACCTTGTAGATTTTCCTTCTAGGGCCTAGGCTGTTAAAAAGAGTTCTAAAATCATAACACCCTGAGGGTATGTCTACACTACAACGTTAATTCGAACTAACTTAGTTCGAATTAATTAATTCGAACTAAGTTAGTTCGAATTAACGTTGTAGTGTAGACATACCCTCAGGGTGTTATGATTTTAGAACTCTTTTTAACAGCCTAGGCCCTAGAAGGAAAATCTACAAGGTTTTGATGCTATTATGGAGAAAGAACAGAGATGAAAAAATCTACAAAGAGCCTTAGAAGCTAGTTATATTTTTTTTCTTTCACTGAAACTGTTATAGGCCAACATCACTTTTGAAAATGGGACTTAAATGTTTTAGGGACTTCACTTTTGAGAATTCTATTCCAGATTTTAAAAAAAAAAAATCCTTTAATTAAAAGAGTATTAGTATTCTCTTGGAATGCTTCATCCACAGATTGATTACATTTGGTGGTAAAAGCAATTTCAAAGCCACTCACAATATATGTATACTTTTCCAATTAATTAGATGCTATAAAAGTTAATCTCAAATCTTGGGCTTCCACATGATGATTTGTTATGCTACTGATAACCTATTATGTGGGACAAGATTTTTTTTTATATTGATTCTGTGGTTAATTCAGTACTATTGTGTGAAACAGCCTTCTACATTATTTCATGATGTCTCTTATCTAATGGGAGTTTAATATATTTTGGGGGTGTTATGTTTTTTTGCATGTGACAGGTGTTGAGCTCCTCTATAGTACTATAATTATTATGAGATTAAGAAGTTTGTGAAAAATGTAGCTGGCCTGAGGAAGAGTGAGCTAGAAACAGCATATGGGACACTTGAACTTACAAGGGATGTTAAGCAGGTTTGAAATCCATTGTGAAACATCTCAAAGTTAAAACAAAAGGAGGTTGGTATTTTACAGGAGGAAAAAGCCCTTTTAATTAGATTGTGACAGCATCACTGATGGGCGTGGTCCCACAAGAAGTTGCATCTACTTCATTGGTATTGTTACATAGCAGAGTAAACCTCATACACTGTGGCTGTTTTCTTTTTATAATGTTATGGCCTGTCGGAATTTGCAGGTCTACACCATTTTCAGGTATTGTTATTAGGGCTTAATGGAATTGTATTGAAAGCTCCTGTAGAGCAGTCACTAATGTGATACAAAGCAGCATTCTTAAATTTTGTTGTAAATTGAAGATAATAAAATGAGCATAAGTCAAGGGTGAGACTCAAGCCAGACATTTTAATTGTCCTGGCCTTTGGTGTATTGCACACTGACATAGTGATACATTTTAAAAACAACTTTTAGAGAAAAAAATACTGAGAAATTTTAGAGCAGTCCAACTAATGCCTGTCATTTGCTCAAAGACAGTGGTTTGAGCATTGGCCTGCTAAACCCAGGGTTGTGAGTTCAATCCTTGCTGAGGCCATTTGGGGCAAAAATTCATCAGGGATGGTACTTGGTCCTGCTGGGAAGGCAGGGGACTGGACTCGATGACCTTTCAAGGTCCCTTCCAGTTCTAGGAGATGGGCAATCTCCATTAATTTAATTTAAAAAAACACTTGTGGGGCATATATGAGCCTGATTGGTATATTGATACATATATTTACTTTTTCAAGTAGTTAGTGTATGTCTGGTACATTAAATATTTGACACGTAGTAATTTGAAATGGTTGACTTACTCACTGATATCGTTATAGCAATTAAATTCTTATCAGACTTCATATTCAGGAAACATATATGTGCCCAGTAGCTGATTGTGTTTTAGACCTGCTGTATACTAAAAATGTAACTGCATTTGTAATCAGTTAATTACACTGTCATCTGAGCTGATTAATATAGTTGTGTCCACACACAAGCTTTTATGTCATCCATCTATGTTAGTAGTGAAGCTATGTCATGCAGTCTAAATCATGTATAACCGCCTTCTGAGAAAATCTGGGCAGCTATTTGAAACCATCTAAGCAGGGGACAGTTGGACAGGAGGTCATGTGTGCAAAAGAGAACTAACATCTTGTGGGATATTACCTTCTGAGATGTCTTGCCACAGAGAATAATCAAATAAGTGACAAGGGCAGGATTTGTGGTCCTATCAATAGTACAATGAAAGTGTTCCAAACTATAACAGGAAAACTTTTAACTGCCTAGAAAAACTGCTGGAAAGGCAGAACATTAATAATGGCCACATTTATTGGAATAATAATTAGTACAGGTTAAACCAGCACAGTGGAGAGTGCAGCTGTGACCTGGGTGGGGGTGCAGTCCCGGCAGTGCTGGAGGCAGTGGGGCTGGTGGAAGTGAATGCAGGAGGCAGCAAGCCTGGGGGCAGAGCCGACAGCTGGTAGAGGAGCCTTGACTGCCCCTAGTCTGGCAAACACCATGGTCTCACGGGTGCTGGACCAGGAAGGTACCACCTGTAATAATCAATTAACTGTGCAGTTTACTGGTTACATTCTCAGTTAAATGTTGTAGTTACAGAACCTTAAATTTCAGTATCTTGACTGTTCAATATTACTTTCTAACTAAGATCACTCCTGCCTTTAAAAAAAATTGTATCCATAGTATGGATTTTCTAGGGTGTTTGTAAGATTGCTATAGCAGTAGTAATAGTCAGGCATGCTGATAAACTCTAGAGTTGTATTTTTAAGATGATTTTTTTAAATTTATTTTTTTAAACAGAACATGTTTTTGGCAATTATCAATGATACTTATTCAGAGGTCAAATCAGATATGGCCCAGCAGAAGGCGGAAATGGAACTGTCTGATCTTATCAAAAAGGTATAAAAAAATTTGTTACAAATTTCAACATTTGTTTTGGCCAGATTCCAGAATCACTGCTGCCTGGTTTACCGTATAAAATACTAAACTACTGTAAGGGCAACGCTGAGTACAATTTAGTGGTGAATAAAGAAAAAAAAAACCAGCGGGCAGTAAAGACAAGTCAGTCCGAATTAAGTACAAATTAAAATGAATTAGTAACCTGACACTTGGAACATTGGATCCAATCTTCTTGAATATGATAAAATGGAATAGCGGAATCTGCATTGATAAAGAACTATAGATCTGGAATTGGATTAGACTAACCCTAGGATTTCGTTTGCTTACTTTATTTTGAATTCTGACTTGCAGTATTTCTGCTCCACAACCATATGTGCACATCCATGTGTGTATGTGGAGCTGTTGATTGCAGCCACTATTTTGGCTAATAAAATAAGGGGTGGCTGGGTGTGTAATATCTTGGCCTAGATATAAATTTGTCTTCTAGAAAGTGGCTTAAATTTATAGCCAGCATCCTCTAAAGTTTTGAATATGGCTGTTAAAATGGTGGAGAAAACTAAAAGTGTTATATTTTTGCAGTGAATTGGTGCAAAATTGTATTATCAGAATATATTTCAAAATGTGATGTTTTACAAAATGAATAAATAACATAGTTTGTTTTCTACCCATAGCTATAGAATTAAATACCCAAATAGCATTGACATTCAGTTTGAGTTGGGTATCTGAATTTTTTATGCTCCTTTAGTATCCTAACCTCTAGTTGCAGATAGTGTAATTCATAGAAACATGGAAATGAGAGATGGGTAAGACTTACTGAATTATCTTGTCCAATCAGTGCCTAATGTCCCAGAATAGTCAAGGAGATGACTGAGGGGATATCTGAGCCATTAGTGATTATCTTTAAAAAGTAATGAAAGACTGGAGAGATTTCAGAAGATTAGAAAAGAGTAAATGTAGTCTTTCACCCTCCATCTATAAACAAGGAAATAAGGATAACGTGGGGAATTACAAAGCAATCAGCTTAACTTCAGTACAGAAAAGATAATAGAGCAAATAATTAAGCAATCAATTTGTAAAATAAGGTGATATGTAACTGCAAGCATGGATTTGTGAAGAACACATTTTGTCAAAGCAACTTAATAGCTTTTAGAGTAACAAAGTTTGTGGACTGGGAGGAAGTGGTAGATGTTGATGTATCTTAACTTTAATAAGATACTATTTTGTATGATTGTCTCATAAATAAACTACATGGGCACTATAAGGTGGGTGCATAACTACTCTGGGAACGATTTCCCAATTAGTTATTTGTTTTTTCACAGCAAGGGCATTAGGGGAAAACTTCCTACCTGTCAGGATAGTTAAGCATTGGAATAAGTTCCTTAGGGGGTTGTGGAACCTCCAGTCACAGAAGGTTTTAAAGATCAAGTTGGACAAACTCCTGGGCTACGTCTAGACTGGCATGATTTTCCGCAAATGCTTTTAACAGAAAAGTTTTCCGTTAAACGCATTTGCGGAAAATAGCGTCTAGATTGGCACGGGCCCTTTTCCACAAAAAGTGCTTTTACGGAAAAGCATCCGTGCCAGTCGCCATTTTCGCGATCGGGGCTTTTTTACGCAAAACAAATCTGAGCTGTCTACACTGGCCCTTTTGTGCAAAAGCTTTTGCGCAAAAGGACTTTTGCCCGAACGGGAGCAGCATATGAGAGAACATGAGATTGTTAGTGTTCTTGCGGAAATTCAAGCGGCCAGTGTAGACAGCTGGCAAGTTTTTTTGCAAAAGCAGCTGCTTTTACGGAAAAACTTGCCAGTCTAGACACAGCCCTGGAGACTGAACTAATAATCTCTCAAGGCCCCTTCCAATCTTACAGGCCTATGATTCTTCCAGTGCTTGTCAGAAAATATTAAATGTGGTTTGGTTTTATTCAAATGCAGGCAATCTTCTTTACGTGAAACAAGCAAAACAAAATTAACTATATTAGTAGAAGTAAAGTTTTATTTTGTCTCTTACTTTATTTTCTGTTAGGGATACAGTAAAGCCATGATCAAACTTAAACTGAAAAAAGCTACTGTTGATGACATTTCAGAGAACTTACGACAAGGTGGGGGCAAGTTAAACTTTGATGAACTACGACAAGATCTCAAGGGGTAAAGAAACTAGTATTTTCTATCTTAAACATATGCAAAGGATCCTTCAGATTTCCTCAAGGCCTGTAGGATGTGAGGGGGAGGGAAGTCCTTATTAAGGTACACTAAAGCAAATAAAAAACAATATGTGAGAATACTTCTGTATCTGGTGGGTTGCTAATAAAGCTTACACTTTCTTTTGTATCTAATGGAAGTGTTCTTATGTAAATAAATAGGGTGCTGGAAAATCTACAGTCTGTTAAGATATTCCAAGGGCATTGCAGAAATAAAACCCCTAACAAAAATGGAGGTGAGGGAAGAGAGAAATAATGTCTAATGGTGTGAGCTTGAGTGAGGTAATTTGATTTTCTTTGCTTGCTGCATCATACTAGTTATAAGCTGGACCCTTCCATGTTCCATGAGGCGTTTTGGCACCATTATTGAAGAGGATTGTTAACTCATTGAGAGAAGGGTGGTAGTTACATTTAAGTAGGACCCTGCTCTAAAGGCTTACCAACAGTTGCCCTCTTTCTAGCCTCCTGTTTTTTTTGGAAGGTTAGAAGTTGGCATTTGAACAACTTAGTTGCATTTTTTATTCACATTTTTTATTCATATTTTGTTCTCGGTCCTGAGAAGGGTTTTAGATTTGAGGTGGTATTGCAATCCATAGAGAACAATTTTTCCGGTATTTTTTTCTTTCCAGTCTCTCAATAGCCTTTGAGTTGACTTGTCTTCAGGATTTCATGAGGATGGATGGGGTATCAACAAGACAGGAACACATCCACTGTAACCCAGAGACAAATGAAGAATATTTCCTCCCACAAATGCTGTTATAAATGGGGTCCCATAAAATTTCATTTAGTTGCCTGGCCAGTTAAGCAGAAGTACAAATCAAAATGTTTCATGAAGAGTCACCTGCATGGAGAGGATAGTTAAGACTAGGGCTCCTGCTGGTCAGATGGCATTACTGTATTCTCTTTTTTCCCTCACATAATTAAGAATGTGGGTAACAGTAAACTGTCCTGAATGCAGTCTAGAGAAGAGGGAGTAGTGTTGTTGGGGAGGAGGGGGGTGGAGGAACTTCTAAAATAATGGTCTGGGGCCAGGACTGTTAGTTACATGTACCCAAGCTTTGCCAGCATAGTTAGTGGGTTTTGATTTGTGATGGAGAAATTTGTAGGCAGCACTGAATTAAGCAAGTATTTTGTCTTTTAGAATCTTTGCTATAGTTAAAACTTTTTGTTGTCTTCCCCTGCACCTTCACATTCTATATTTTTTGCCAATCAAAAAGGGGGATCTATTTTACCTTCTTTTCAGGAAGGGTCACACTGATGCAGAGATTGAAGCAATATTTACTAAATATGACCAGGATGGGGATCAGGAATTGACAGAACATGAACATCAGCAAATGAGAGATGATCTAGAGAAAGAGAGGGTAAGTCATGCTTTAGGGTAATTGCAAGACCTTAAACAGTTGGGTCCTTGAAGTTTCTAAGCATCAATTCTCATTTGCATTAGATTTTCTCTTACTAATCTATTATGTTGTCTAATATTCACTCCCAGCAAAGTTATAAAACGGTGAGAAGTAGTTCTATCAATGAAGTCATGCGCCTTTGATCTTCAGCACACAGGTGAGAATCTAAGGATGACTTGTTTGTTTTTCATGAAGGAAGATCTAGATCTGGACAGGAGTGTTCTACCACGTCCAATGAGTGGTCGAAGCTTCCCTCGCAGTCTGGATGACTCTGAAGAAGATGATGATGAGGACAGTGGACACAGCTCCAGAAGAAGAGGCAGCAGTTCTAGTGGAGTTTCATATGAAGAATTCCAAGTGTAAGTGTAAACACTGGCGCTGTGTTCTTTTAAAATATATATATTGTTCTCCAATATAATTTTTGGTATTAACCAAATGAAAGCTAAGAAATGTATTACAAAGCTAACTTTGTAAATAGCTATTATCATTTGAAATCTGTTCTTGCGTTCAAGCTGTTAAAAGATCTTGGATGAAAGTGGAAACAAAAGAAATATCAGCACCCAGATTAAATTAACCAACTTAAAAAGTGTCTGAGAGGTAGCTATGTTAGTCTGTGACTTTAAAAATAACAAGAAGTCCTTTGGCACTTTAGAGACTCACTATGGGTACGTCTAGATTGCAAGCTTCTTTCGAAAAAAAGCATCCACAGCTCAACACTGGATTGAAAAAGCGATCTGCTTTTTCAAAAGAGAGTGTCTGGACGGCATGGATGCTCTCTCGAAAGAAAGCCCTGATTGCTATTCACAGAATGGCTTTCAGGGCACCTGTGATTTTTTGATTGCCTCTTATTTCAAAAAATGTCCCTGTTCTACATCCATACGTGTCTTTTTTTTTTTTTTTTCAAAAGAGCTCTTTCAAAGAAGGCGTTCTTCCTCGTAATTTGAGGTTTACCAATGTCGAAACCCCCTCCCCCGCGTTCTTTTGATTTAATTTTGAAAGAACATGATAATAGTGTGGACGCAAGTGAAGTTTTTTTCGAAAAAAGGGCAGTTTTTTCGAAAAAATGTAGTCTAGACATACCCTATATATAGAGCCGTGGTCACCAACCAGTAGATCGCTATCTACCGGTAGATCTCAGGGGTTCTAAGAGTAGCTCTTGAGCCCTCTCTGAACTACGCGCTTGCACAGTACATTTACATTAGATTTCCTCATTTGAGGAGCAGCTACTCACTGAACTAAAGGATTGTCAGGAATTGGTATTACATAAGTAATATAGCTGTGCATTTAGCTGAAGTGGTCTCTTTCTGAAGGCCCCAGTCACAGCAAGCATGAATGGAGTGGTTATGATTTAGAGTAGCTGGGACCTGATTGATCATCTTCCTTGTTCAGTACTGATTGTGTGTAATGATCCCAAACTGTATTATAATCAGATATCTGTGCAATGGATATATTTTCCTTATTCCCATGTAGCAGCATTTCCCAAACTATGGGCCAAGGCCTGGTACCGGGCTGTGGGAAAAAATACCAGGCATCAGCGTGGCTGGTGATTTCTGGGAGGGGAGAAGAGCGGGGTGGGCTGGGAGGAGGTGGGGGGGGGGAGGGGAACTGGCTGCTGGGAAGCAGGGTTGGGGGCGGTTGTCCCGCAGAGATCAGGGCAGGCGGGCGGCCGGCTGGCGGAAGCAGGGTTAGGGGTAGTGGGGCTGTCCAGCAGCAATCCGGGCGGGCGGCAGAAGCAGGGTTGGAGGCAGAAGGGTTGTCCCGCGGAGATCCAGGCAGGCGGGCAGCCGGCTGGCGGAAGCAGGGTTAGAGGTAGTGGGGCTGTCCAGCAGCAATCCGGGCGGGCGGCAGAAGCAGGGTTGGAGGCAGAAGGGTTGTCCCGCGGAGATCCAGGCAGGTGGGCGGACGAGCAGCAAAAGCAGGGTTAGGGGTAGCAGGGCTGTCCCGTGGAGATCCGGGCGGGCGGGCAGCAGAAGCAGGGTTGGAAGCAGCGGGGTTATCCTGTGGAGATTGGGGAGGGCAGGCGGCGGAACCAGGGCTGGACGGGGAAGATCAGGAGGAGGAGGATGGGAGAACCAGCTGCCGGAAGCAGGGTTAGACGGGGGCAGCGGTGCTGGTTGGGGGGGTCATTGTGGGAGTGTGGCTGACCGGAGGAGATTGGTGGTGGTGGTGGGGAACCGGCCACCAGAAGCAGGGCTGGACGGGGGCAACAGGGCTGGACTGGGGAGATCGGGAGGAGAAGGGGGAGGGAGCGGGACTGACCCGGGCACATGTGGACCCTACAGACCCTGGCAGATGAGTGAGTCTGACCGGGGATTCCATTTTCCCTCCCTCCTCCCCTCCCACATACCCTCCCTCGAGTAGTTGCGAACTGTCTGGCTGGTAGACACACTCAGGCAGCCTGAGCACATCTACCAGCCAGGCAGTTTGCAGCTAAGGACTGATACACCTAATTATAATGAAACTTACCTCATTAGAAAATACCAGACAGTGTATATGTCTGGTAACGTCTCAATTTTTCCTGGACTAAACCCTCAAATACTGGACTGTCGGTACAAAACCGGACACCTGGCAACCCTACCCTTCCTTGCACCCTCCCTCCTAGCCAGATACTCTACCCCCAATCTGCTCCTGCTCCCACCTCCTGGAGTGCCCATGCGGCGCCAGGTCCCCCAAGCCCTGGCCCAGGCTGGGCGGAGGATGCAGCCGGGTGAAACACTGGAAAATGTATTCATTTTTCATTCTTTTTTTAATATGTGTTTATATATTTGGGCTGCAAAAAACAGTACTGAAAAAAACGGGTTCCAACTAAAGTAAAAAGTTTGGGAAACCCTGATCTAGCCAGTTTTCTATGCACCTTACAGTCCATTTATCCAATCCATGTTCCCTTAACTTGCTGGAAAGAATATTGTGGGTGATTGTATCAAAAGCTTTGCTAACGCTGGCACTGAGGGCTTTGGGAGGACCAGGAACAACTTATTTGAATATTCATCATTTGCTTAATGAATGTGCAAATATGCAAATGAATGTTACCAGTCCTCCAAAAGCTCGTGAATGTATTGACTGGTCCCCATGTCAAAAAGTTTGGGACCCCCTGCCATATGGGATGTAGAACATGTCAGTTGATTTGCTTGAGATGGCACTACCTCCAACAACACAATTTACACTTGTTACTTGCTTTCTAAATCTCCCTTCACTGAAACATTTCATTAACGTTAAGATTGTATGCTATGTTCACCAGCTTGTATGTGACAGAGTGAGTGTGTGGACAGATAGTAACTAGGTCTAGGGAAAAAATAAACCTAGATGCCATGTTTCCGTAGACTCCATAATCAGTTATTCTCAAACCATCATCAAAAATAAAATGATCATAGAGAATTATTTTATATACATATAAAAAACAATTATGTCTGTAAACACCTAGCTCAATTAGCTTACATAGAGACCAGAATATGGAACCCTACTTTCATCGTGGAAATGTGTGTCTCTCTCAAGACATAGCAACACTTCTACTTATTTTTTTTCTTCTCTCTCAAAGAATTGCATTGTCCACCCAGGATACTATGGAAGTAGCACTCTTTTTCTCTGTGGAAAGCAGAGTGCCTCAATCTTCTGTAGCAAACACCAGAAGTGGTACTGACCAGCTCTTGAGTGAGTCCCACCCGGCCCTTCTTTACTGTACAATTTATATCAGGGCTGGGCAAAATATCACCCACAAGGCTGAATCCGGTGCACCAAGCCGCCAGATCCAGACCTGGGAGCCTCATCCAGCTCTCCGCCTGCACTGCTCCCAATCAGTACTCTGGAAAGCCTGCTGCAGGGCTTGGAGTGTAGGGTTTGAGAGGTGGTATAGGTGCAGGAGAGGATTCTGGCCTGGAGAAGGATGTAGGAGGGAGGGAGTGCAGGTTCCGGGAGGGGTTGTGACCTGGAGCCAGGAGTGCTTGATCTTGGGAGGGAGTTGTAACCTGGGGCAGGGGATTGGAATGCAAGGTTTGGGAGGGGGTATAGCTGCAGGAGAGGATTCTGGCCTGGGGGAAAGGTGGAGGAGGAGGGAGTGCAAGGTCTGGGAGAGGTTATGACCTGAGGCATGAGTGCAGGCAAGGGTGCAGGAACTGGGAGGGAGTTGTAACCTGGGGCAATCCCCTGTCCCAGGTCACAACCCAAACCACTGCACTCCTACCATAAGTCATAATCCCCTCCCAGACACTGCACTGCCTCCTGTACCCCAGTCCCCTGCCCAAGGTCACAATCCCCTCCTTCTCCCAAATCCCAAACCCTTACCCCAAGCTCCCTTCTGCACCAACCTCCATCCCAGACTCCTCATCTATATTAATGTAATGGAAGAGTGCAGCCCATGCCACTTCTCAAATTCTTGGAGCTGCCCCCTCCCCCATAAAAAATGATTGTCCACTCCTGGTTTATATATGATCCCTTAAAGAGAAGGAAACAAGAGAAAACAATTTAGAATTTTGCATTTGCTGTTGCACCTCTCCCTTGTTGAAAAAATTACAAAGTTATTCCACTGTCTTTTGGTTTTGTAGCTTTAATAAAAGTGTACAGATGTCATCTGATAAACTTCCCATTTCTTACAAGCCGATTGGCTACAACCAAATTAATGGTTTAAAAATGGCAATAACATTAAAAATTAGCAAATATCTATTGCCTTCAGGCTGGTGAGACGAGTGGATCGCATGGAACATTCCATAGGGAGTATTGTTTCCAAAATTGATGCTGTTATTGTAAAGCTTGAAGCAATGGAGCGAGCCAAGTTGAAAAGGAGAGATGTGTTGGGAAGACTGTTGGATGGAGTTACAGAGGTAAGGAAAATCCATTATGATATGAGTAGTTAAGTCGACTGATCAATAACTAAAGAGCTATTTTCCTCTCAAGTAAGATGATCTCATTTGTTTTCTTTTCTACTACTTCACACATAGGATTGTGATAACTGAGATGGCACTTTGGCAATGGTAAGCTAGTAACTTATAGCTTGAGTTTATTTCCAAGCACTTGATCAAAGTTGTGCCAATGACTATTTATCATAGGGAATTAACACATCCCTGCGTAAAGATTCTGCCATATCATGACAATGGGCACAGTGTGAAAGCTTCTTGTCATTATTCTGCAGCTGCTACCACAGCACTTTCATTTCTTGTTTAGAAGAGACAGTGCTTGGTTTAGTACGTGTTTCTCAAAGTGGGCTAATAGGCCACTCCTTTTTTTTTTTTTTTTTAAATCTGAAAGCTCCGTAGCCACAGAGCCCAGTGGCTCCGGTTCACTGTATCCAGCTAAGGCAGCTCCCCTTGGCAGGAAACAGTGAACCAGAGGCAATGGTAATCGCGAGGCTCCATAGCTATGGAGCCCTTATATAAACAAACCAAAGTGGCCCATTAACAGCTTTGGCCCACTTCGAAAAATACTGGTTTAGTACAAAGCCACACTTCACAATGAATTCATCTGAGATGTTTTAGAATATTGTATGTACCTTCTTCCAGAATTTTGATCACAATCAAATTTGGAAGCTTACACATTGAGCTGATACCTTTCTTTGCATTTAGGATGAAAGATTGGGACGTGACAATGAAATCCACAGGGAACAAATGGAGCAATTAGTGCGAGAGGAATTGGAGCGTTGGGAGTCTGACGACACAGTTTCCCGAATGAGCCACTGCTTGGGAACACCAGTTGGCCTAAATAGCCAGCCTCGTTCTAGGAATTCTCGTCCATCCTCCTCTCAATCAACAGAAGGCATTGATAGAAGCGGAGGAGGGAATGGTGGTAGCAATATCCATGTGTAATATTCTTTGTTTTTTAAATGTCATTCCTGTATTGTCACAGTGAATGCACTATTTACTATTTGTTTTCCAAAACCAGTGATGAATGTTAAACCTACCAGTGTCCCCAGCTAAGGTTTGATCAGTAAGCCATAGGAACATCAAATCTACAACCACTATGTCAGATGTAGAGGGGCATTAGATTCCTACCCCACTAAATAAGGTGGTGTTCCCATTGCCACCTAAACTGGCTTTAGGATCATAATGCACCAGCAGCATTGCTTAAAAAGTAACTGCACTTACAGGATCTGTGCCTGAGGAATTTTATAGTTTCCGTATCCTCATTCAGTAAATACAACTGTTCTTTTTTTTTTCTAAGAACTTCCATCTTAATGTTGCTACACAGCAGGAGTTCATTTTGGTTAAGTAAAATAGGACAGTATTGAGAGTTAAATGTATTTTTGGCTAGCTATTAATCAAAACTTTTAGAAGACATTATTTCACAACGACTTTGAAACTACTCTCCAACATTATCTAATGGGAAAGTAGAGTCTTACGGTGTGTCTATACTGCATCATAGATCAAAATAAGATATGCAATTTGAGCTATGCAAATTGCATATCTTATTTTGATCTATGATGCAGTATAGACACACCGTAAGACTCTACTTTCCCATTAGATAATGTTGGAGAGTAGTTTCAAAGTCGTTGTGAAATAATGTCTTCTAAAAGTTTTGATTAATAGCTAGCCAAAAATACATTTAACTCTCAACTTAAATGTTTAGATTTCCAGTGCTTTATAATGCAAAATATTATTCTTAAATTCTAAAATATATTAATAAGATTTCCTATATAGTTATTCCTGTCAATTATTCCACACTAATTACAAACAAGTAACACTATCTTCTTCTTTTGGAGTTTTCATTTAGTGTGCTAAGATTTTCTTCAATTGATTTTTAAAGTAACATTTCCTATGTGTCAGTGAATTAATGGCTTTTTTTCTTTAAGGGCTTGTCTGTAATGAGAGGATTGACCTTGCGGAGGTTGATCTTCTAGTGTTCGATTTAGCGGGTCTAGTGTAGACCCCCAAATTGAATGCTCAGGGCAGCCCCCATAAGTGTCCTGTACTCCTTATTCTGCAAAGAGTAAGGGTAGCTGATGGTAGACACTGTGGTGGCTTGGCTTAAGGTAAGCCATTTTGCGTAGCTGGATGATGTACTTTAAGCTGACCTGCCTGGTCTAGTGTACACCAGGCATAAGACAGAAGGTTTTGTTTAGTTCATTTTTATTATGAAGTAGAAGTATATGCACGTGACATCTTATTCATATTTTAGTGTTTTAAAAGAAACTCTATGGAAACTGCCTCTTACACATAAGAGCGACAAGGTGGGTAAGGTAATACCTTTTATTGGAATAATTTCTATTTACACAACTAATAGACACTACACATATCTTTCTGTCTATTCATAGCTGGCTTTTAAGGACAAATTTTCAAAAATGAAGACCTTGGAGCTTCATGTTCATAACTGTACATGCAGAAACTGGGTAAACATTAGTTGTGAAAATCATCAATGAATCTTGGTGGTGGGGGTAAACAGGATTGACATTTTGAACATTTCTGACCAGCTTTAGCAAGTATTCATACCATTTCAAAGGCAGGTGCCTAATTAGCTGCTTATGTATGCACTTAGCTAACCTGCATGAGCAATTGCAGTTATATTTTTGCATGTAAACTTTTTTCCTGGAGGGAACTATATTGCGTTTTTCTGAAATTGTTCTTTTAATATAATTAGCACATTTTAGTACAAAATTTGCTAGATTTGAGACAGCAGTAGAGCTTTGAAGCAGCAACAGCACTGACACTGAAGTTGGAGGCAAATATTTTTACTATTTTTATAGTAACATAAGTTTTGTTAGTGAAATATGGAGTCTTCACTCAAGCCTAAGATTTACAATAGGTTTAAAGGGGAATAGAAAGCTTAATATTCAAATGAAGTACACAATATTCTAAAGTGTGGATATTTGTAGCATGTAAGAAGGAAAATATCTGTGCCTTTTTATTGATGCTGGTGGCTTTTATGTTGTGTTTATTATTGCCTCGGATAAATAACCCTGAGTACCTTATATTTCGTGTTAGTATTTTTGGTTTGCTATTGGATCAAATACAACTCCAAAAATTCGTTTTCAAGCACGTGTAGTTACATTACATTGTCATCTAAGACCATTCCATATGATCAAGCACTTTACCTTGATAAAAACAAAACTTTTCATATGTTTACAAGAAAGTGCATGTTCGATATCTCAGATGAAAGGACTTCTCCCCTACAGAGAGCTGAAATTTCCCAATAGTGGTGGTCAAGCGCCACCACTGCCAAATAGATAAGAAATTAATCCAAATGAATTTACAGCAGAATAGTTCAGGTTAAGATTTTATCACTGTTGTTTTCAGTAAAGGGCAGGGACAGGTCACAACCAGTAAACAAAAATGTATGGGAAGCCCTGATTTGTTCCTGACTTACTAAAAATAACTGGCAAAAGGGGGTTGATGAGGGGATGAGAGCCTGAGTCCTGCTGCAGGAGGGAAGAGGGATCCAATACTGCTGGCACTGTGGCTCTCAGGTGTGTGGGGCCCACCGAAGCCCAAAGTGGCTCAAAGCTCTAGGGACCCTGACAGCTCTAGGCTATTAGCACTTGGTCTGTTAGGTAGTAAGAGTATCAAAAGGCCAGATATGGTATTATGTGGCATATATTTAAAGTTTAAAACCAATCATCTGACCAAATGATTTGGCTTCACATGAAAGGTTGCTAGTGCTCAGGTAAAGTGATCTTTTTTTATAAAGATGAGATGTGTTGTATGTCTATTGCTACAATATGCTAAAGAACTAAGGAAATTTGCATGGGGAGAGTGTTTGTTAGCTGTGCCTTTTCAAAACACTACAGCTATCACTGTGGTTTAAAATGTGTTATAAAACTTGTACCTTTTCTAAACTAATATTGAACAATTTTCTTAGTATGTTAATTATGAAAACCAAAATGTTTGTATTCATAGCTATATTCATCTATATATCTGTAACGTGTCGTTACTTAATAACAAACTTCATTTTGAAGTGCAATAAGCTTTCAAGGAGTACCCATGTGTATTGACAATGTGCCATGCAATAAATACATGGCAACTAGACAAATGTGTTATACATGTCTTATTTTAAGTTTAGATTTTCTTGTAACTGTAACTTTGTTTCTAGAGTAAAGGGTTTCTTCTATGTAAATGTAAAGTCTTTGAATTAACATTTGGTCTTATTAGGAAGCTGTTAATTATGTAAGTCTTCCAGTGTTATCAAAGATTTTTTGCTCTATAATACTGAGCGCTTTATTTCCTAATAAAGATTTTACTTACGAATACCACCATGTATGAGTATTCCGGACAAAAATAAGCTGCATTTAAATCTGTCTCAGTATAATGAATGTCCTATATTTGACAAGTTGCTTCTTTCTTTCCCTTTCTTCTTATCCTCTAATTCAGTTTCAAAAATTAAAAAAATACAGCTGTAAGACCATACCAATCCTCCCCTTTGGTAGTGTTCAAAGTAAAGTGAAGGCCTACTCAATGTCACTTACTGCCCTGCCTTCCTGTACTAAGGATCTGCATTACATAAGAGAACAAAATTCTCATTCAAATTCACTTTATAGCATTTTAAACTACGTATTTGTAGGTAAACAAGTTTTGATATTTTTCAAGTGCTTTCTGAGCTAGCTGCCTGTCTCTGTCAATAATGCAGAGTAGGCCTTTGTCACCTTACGATGTCAAATAGAAGAGCATATTTACGCATATTTACATCTCCCTTCTGTTCTGGGACTTCTACAGCATTTCATGGTCCCTGGAAATCCTGAGCCTAAATTGTAAGCTGTCAGCACTCCTTTGCTGTTTTTATGCCCATGAGATCTAGTACAAACTGAACATAGTTATCAAAATCTTTAATGTAATCTTTGAAAATGTTAAACATTTTAGGCCATTCACTATTAAAATCACATTGCATTGTGTTATATTAAATGCTTGTTAACTCATCTGAATTAAGAGAACTTCTTCAGGAAACGCAGTTTCAAATACGCAATAGTAAGGAAGATTAATGTCATGCACAGAAGAGCCACATAATTCCTCCACATGCCCCAAGCTGAAACTTCAATGCCTTGTATTTTCAAATATTCTTCTCCTGTGCAGCTAGTCAATACAAATTAAAGTTTAAAAAGTTAACCCTTTGCAAAGATCTGTAACTGAATATTTAATTTGTTTTCATAATTTTGCTGAAAATATTGTGGTTCAATGCAAACAGAATGGTGACTGAGAATAGATTAAACGGTCCAAAAAAACCCAGTTCTAACCTTTTATAACTTTTTATAACTTTGGTACTAATCCTGGGGAGGACCCTTCTGGTAAGTTCACATTTTTCATCATGCTACAAGTGGGTTAAGGCAATCAGGCAAGATCTGTGGTATTCACTGTGCCTGCACAGAGCAGGGCCCCAGAACAGCTTGTTAAATGTTTGGAGATGGAGTGTGGGAATAATCCTTGCACATCTCCATAAAGCTCTCATATAGGAACTCTTTAATCCTCACAATTTTTGGGGAGACCTGTCTTATTCCATCCTCCATAGTAAGGCACCTTCCCATGCCAAGCCAGTAGTAAGTGGTCTGGCATCACTGCACCACAAAGGATTGCAGCATAAGGTCCAGCTTTCTGACCACAGTCAGTCAGCATCTACTCCCTATCGCTCTGTGTGATTCAGAGAAGATTGATATCACACATGGCTACCTGGATGAAACAGGGAAGCTACTAGCTAATGCCTCTTCAGAAAACCACGTTGGCTCACCCCCAAAGAAGCATGGTTTCAGCCTCTGCTCTGTTGTCATGCTTGGACCACCTTCCCCCTCCCACCTGCATGTGGGAAGGGAAACTTGCACTCTACTGGCAAATGGGGTAGGAGGGGTGTGTCAAACCCATGGGCTCCCAAGTTCTCTCCCCTTCACAGGCTCAAGTCCTGGCCTGTCCCCTACCATGCCTGCATCCAAACCAAGACCAGCTGCTCCCCTAAAAACTCTGTTGTGTACATTTTACATAGTGGCTACTTAAAACGTAATTGTCGCCTTATACATTCTTCCTCATTCTGGCAGACCCTGAGTACACTCTGGATATACTTCAGCACAAGGCTCACCATTGTTAATATGATTGTCATAATGCTTTGATGCTGAAACAGGATCACAATGCGTTCTATGCTTATGCTGCTATGGCATCTATGTGGATAACCAGGGGGAAAAAGGACACAAAGAGACTGTTTGTCATTGCTTTCAAGCAGGGGAGGGAGCAGGAGGAGATGAATGTATTATGGGACGCTAACAACATGTACCCAGAACTGCCTGCTGCACACCTTTGGTCCCATTGCGCATTGAGAGCATAACCCATGAAGCAAAGAGGAGCAGGAAAGAGATGTTACTCACTTTGTGCAGTAATGATTGCTCTTCGAGATGTGTCCCCCTCGTGGGTGCAACACAGTTGGTATCAGGCTCGTCCTGACACCACAGATCGGAGATTTTCAGAGCAGTGATTGGATGGGCTGTGCATGCGTGAGCAGAGAGCGGCACTCCTGCCTTTAAAGTCGTGCACACAGCCTGTTTCTCCTCTGTTTCTTCTTTGAAACCCTCATGGGCTACTATTATTGCCCAAAGAAGTGGGGAGGAGGACAGGTATTAGAGCACCCACAGGGACACACATCTCAAAGAATAATCATTACTGCATGAAGCAAGTAACTTCACTTTCTTCTCCAAGTGATGTCCCCTTGGGTGCTCCTCAGTTGGTGACTGTGTAGCAGTGCCCATTGAGATGGATAGTGGGTTTTGATCAGTTGCTACAGATTGTGGAGAGAACCACATTGGCTACTGCAGTATCTGTTGTGGAGCATGATGGAAGGTGTGAAGGTGTGATTAGACAACCATGTTGCCACTCTGTGTATTTCCTAGAGTGAGACTCCCTTTAGGAAAGCAGCAGATGTCGCCATAGCTCTGGTAGAGTGGGCCTTTGGATTTGTTGGTAATGCCCTATTCTGGAGCAAGTAGCATGTAGTAATGCATGACTTTATGAGCTTTGATATGCACAGGGAAGACAGTGGTTTTCCCTAGGACCTCTTGGCCAGGAAAACCATCAATCTCTGAAATGATCAAAAGGACTGAGTCCTATCGAGATAAAAGTCAATTGCCCTTCTGACGTCCAGAGTGTGTAATATGGCTTCTTCCCTGGAATGAGGAAAATCTGTGGGACGCAATCATACCGGGATATAAAATATATAGAAAGGATAGAGCAGGCCGTGTGGGTGGCGGAGTGGCACTGTATGTGAAAGATAATGTAGAATCAAATGAAATAAAAATATTAAGTGAATCAACATGTTCAATAGAATCGCTATGGATAGTAATTCCATGCTCCAATAATAAGAAATTAGCAGTAGGGATATATTACCGACCACCTGACCAGGACAGTGATACTGACATTGAAATGCTAAGGAAGATTAGAGAAGCTACCAAAATAAAGAACTCTATAATAATGGGGGATTTTAATTACCCCAATATTGACTGGATACATGTCACCTCAGGAAGAGAAGCGGAGATAAAATTTCTCAATGGCTTAAATGACTGCTTCTTGGAGCAGCTGGTGCAGGAACCTACAAGGGGAGAGGCAATTCGTGATTTAGTCCTGAGTGGAGCGCAGGATCAGGTCCAGGATATAACCGTTACAGGACCGCTTGGGAATAGTGACCATAATATAATAATATTCAACATTCCTGTGGTGGGAAGAACAACACAGCAGTCCAGCACCCTGGCATTTAATTTCAAAAAGGGGAATTACACAAACACAGTGACTAGAGCCAACTCCCTGAAAGCTGCATGGAAACTTTTTAAAGACACCATAATAGAGGCCCAACTTAAATGTATACCCCAAATTAAAAAACATAGCAAGAGACCTAAAGAAGTGTCACCGTGGCTTAACCACCATGTAAAAGAAGCAGTGAGGGACAAAAAGGTATCTTTTAAGAAGTGGAAGTCCAATCCTAGTGAGATAAATAGAAGAGAACATAAACACTGTCAAATCAAGTGTAAAAATGTAATAAGAAAAGCAAAAAAAGATTTTGAGGAACAGCTAGCCAAAAACTCAAAAAGAAATAACAAAATGTTTTTAAGTACATTAGAAGCAGGAAGCCTGCTAAAAAACCTGTGGGTCCCCTAGATGACCGAGCTATAAAAGGAGCAATCAAGGA